AGGTTGTGTCCATGTCTCCTCACCAGTGGTTGGCTCCTTTCAAGCCTTGGCACCAACAACCAGTCCTTGTGACCCCAATGCCAGGCGTCAACAGCTCCTGTGGAAAGGCTGGCTCAGGTATAAGGAATTTGCCTTCTAAACAAGGAATCAACATCTAAGAATGATTAACTTATTCAAAACAGGGCTTTATTCAAAAGTCCAAAGAGGAAGTGAGGAAATGAGGTCTCAGAGGATTCAGGCAAAACTGCAGTGAGCTGCAGCAGCTGATCTGAGACCATCAAAGAGGCCCTTTAGTTAGTAGGCTGTCCTGACAGCTGGACCTGATGAAACTGAAAAAGACAAAACAGGCTGAAAGAAAGTGAGAGAAGGGGGAGCATTTCCCAGGTGTGGCCTGCAAACCCTTGCAACACAGAAGGCTCATGGAGTCGGAGTTGGCTGATTCTCTGCCCAGCTCTACCAACATCCAAAAGAAGAAGTGAATCCCCTGCTGAGGCGGCTATCATCAAGTGTGTCACTGACTTTCAAACCACTGTGACCAAAGCTCCCGACAGAACCAGCCTGGCCTGGCAGGCAGAGAAGGCATGGCAGTGGGAACATCAGGCCACAGATGCTCACTCTGTGGCAGATCAGGAAGTAGAGCTAGGCCAGAACGTTCACAAATCCCCAGCATTCCGTAACCAACCCAGCAGGCAGATCCTGCCTCCAATAGTCTACAACCTTCTAAAGTAACCTTCGAGCCTGTTGGAGAACAGGGTTTTTCTGGATAGCCTTGGCTGCCCTGGAACTCACTATGTAGACCAGGCTGGCCTCAAACTCAGAGATCCCCCTGCCTCTACCTCCCAAAAATTAAAAGTGTGTGCCACCACCACCCAGCCCAAGGAGACATTCTTGCAGGTCTATTTGCGCTGTGTTACAAAGCACACATAGACTGGGAGACTTAGATACAACAGACGTTTCTCACAGTTGTGAAGGGTGCAAGTCAGATCCAGGAGGCAGCATGATTAGGGACTGGTAAAGGCCCCTTTCTCGTATCTTAACAGGGTGGAGAGCCCTGTAAGGTCACTTTCACAAGAGAACAAATCCCATTATGAGGGCTCCCACCCTTGAGACCACTTTCCCAAGTCCCCACTTCCTAACATCATACTATTAGGATGAACATTTCTACATGTGAATGGGCTGCTGGTCAATGTGTAAATCCTAACATACAGTAACTGTCCTTTTCCTCAGCAATTGCGGAGACAGACACTGAGAACCATGCAACTTTGACTTCCATTTTGTGTGTAGGGTCCTGTGGTTCTCAGCTGACCTTTGCCCTCAGGCCTGGCTCTATTTTGTATCTTCGTCCTCAGGCACCTCTTACTACATCATCCTTACCCTTGTGTGATACTGACTCACCGCCTGCAGTGCCGGGCGGGCAACAATCCACATTCTCTACGGCATTACAACACTGCTTTTATCAATCCACAATTGGGAGCCATAACCCATTAGGATAACTACGTCAGCCTTCTGGGCCTGCAATACATGATTCTAGTTTACCCTTTATTTCATAGGTGGAGGTGTGTGTGACCAGAGGCCGTATCTGAGTCTTCTTTGATAGCTCTCCACTGCATTTCTTTAGACAAGGTCTCTCCCTCATGTGGGCAGACTGGCTGGCCAGTGAGCTCCAGGGAACTATCTCCCTAGGACTAGAATTACTGACTCATGTGCCAGGCATTTCGCTTTTCACATGTGTGCTAGGTGTCCGAATTCAGGTCCTCAAGATTGCACAGCAAGCATTTTACCAAGGAGCCATTTCTCCAGCCCCAAAGTTCATTTTCTTTCTTCTTTTCCCCTTGTGATGCTGTGGGTTCAACGCGGAGGCCTCCAGCAGGCTGGGGAAACCCACTACCACTGAGCTATCTCCCCAGCCCCCAAAGCTGGTTTTTGTCAGTAAGCCATGAGATAAGCATCAGTTGGCTCTAACAGGAATACATACTGCTGGGGTTATGAACAACTGGTCAGCCGGGCGTGCTACCCCACACCTTTGATCCCAGCAATCAAGAGGCAGTCTAACACAGCCAGGGCTTATTACACAGAGAAATCCTGTCTAAAAAAAAAAACAACTGGATCAAAAAACTACCACATAAAGCTAGGCATCACCTGCAATGGTCTCAATTTACATTTACCCCTGGTCAAGAACTAATTTTTGCTTTTGGATAAAGGCAAGCTTTAGAGCAATGGATGTTTTTTGTTGTTGCTGTTGTTCTGGGTTTTCTGTTAGTTTGTGTTTTGTTTTAGGTTTATTTTATAAGTGTTTTGCCTGTATGTATGAATGTGCACCACAGATGTGCTTAGTGCTCAAGGTCACAGGAAGATGGAACTAGAGTTACAAACAGTTGTGAGTTGCCATGTGGGTGGTGGGAACTGAACTCAGGTCCTCTGCAAGAGCAACAAATGCTCTTAACCACTGAGCTATCTGAGCAGCATCTAGCAAAGATGTTCAGCCATCAGAACACTTTACATAAACACACACCGTTATGACAATCATTCCTTCAGGTGCCATCATATTGACTGTTGTTAGCAGTTCTGACTTCTCAGAGATACAGGATTTAAATACAACCAAGAGAGCCAGTAGACCAACAACAATATTCTATCAATGCTCTTATTAAAACAATTATAAGCTCATGTATAACTCTTCTGTGCACCACATGCATGCCCGGGGCCAGAGGATGCCAGAAAAGGGTGTCAGATTTTCTAGTTGTGTGCTGGGACCTGAACCCCAGTCTTCTGGCCCTCCATCCCTGGGTCCTAGATTTAGGGGGGAAAAAAAGACTAGAACATTTATCCTCATACCTTGAATTCCTTGCAGTTGCACTGAGCGGAGGGCTGTTGCTGTGAATACCGTTCACATGCAGGTGTGGATTTGTGTGTGCACTGTGCCAGCATCCAGTGACGAATACCTTGTATACACACATACATTTGAAGATTTAACCAGCCCACAGGAGCCTCAGTTTTGTTTTGAACAGGTCGTCTCTTGGACATAAGCTTTCTGCCTTCCTTACCCATCAGATCTGAGTTCTACAAACTTGTTCGCTGGGTTCTGTGTGTGGCATGCTGGTACTGTGTGCTAAGTAACAAAGCAGTAGCTTGGCTCCTGTGGTCACCTCTTTATGGCTTTAGTGGTGGGATGGGGGTGCCCACAAGTGGAGTTCTCTATCCTTCCATGGAGGTTCTGAGCGCTGGGCCTCAAGGCTTGGCAGCCAGGCCCCTGCTCCACTGGACTACCTCTCCAGCCCCGCATCTATGATTCGTATAATGCACTTAACATTTATCTGTAGCTAAAATGCACTTAGGACAGTTGGTGGGAACTGTCTGGATACACTGCTTTGGCACCTCTGATGGGAGTTCACAGCCTCCTATGGTTTCTGTAGGAGATAATGTTTAACTTCTCATGCACTTTCTTTTCTCATCCTTGAGCTCGGCTCACAGCCAAGTCCACTGCCTAGACTAAGGATCTTGCTAGTTTCCTCTAGCCTGTTGTAGGTCTTGCTGCCCTTAGGGCAGGGCAGACCAGCCCAAACCAATTTTATCTCAATCACAAGCAGGCAAGGAATTTCAAGGATCATAAACTGAGGGTTTGCCAACCTAAGATCAGGTTACAGGCCTTAAAGTGGTATGCATCATTAAGATAGTATTTCCTGCATTCATACCCACCCTACAGGCACAGAGAGAGGAGGCAGAAATAGGGAGATCTCTGTGAGTTAAAGGCCACCCAAGGGAGAGCTACACAGTAAGACCCTGTCTCCAAAGAAAACAAAACAAAAACTCAGGCAATCAAATCTGAACGTCAATAATCTCTTGCCAGTTTTCTAAATGGCATGTCTTTGTGGCAAGGAATATACAAGAAAAAGCACCTCCAACTAAAATCACATGGCTAGAATCTGACCCAAGAGCGAGCCCAACCACCTTTTTTTCTGCCTTCCTTTGGGCATGTAGAACCGCCACCCTGTTACTAACCCCCCTTCCCCTCTAACACAAAAGGAAGCTCAGGCATGTTTGCATCTGTCTTACACTCTGATGAGTCTCTTTCCTATGGCTCTGAGGCTGCAAACAGTTGGGGCTATCATAAGCATAGCATGGATCATTCAACTAAATATCTTTATATGACTGGTATTTGGTATGGTTCTGAAAAGTAAATAGTCATGTGGAGATTAAGTATAATTTTTTTTACATCCTATTTTTTATATATTTAAAATCTAATTTTTAAAATTTAAGCATTTTTAAACTCTTTTGTTGCTTTTCTTTTTCTTTTTCTTTTTTTTTTTTTTTTTTTTTTTGAGACAGGGTTTCTCTGTGTATAGCCCTGACTGTCCTGGATTCACTTGGTAGACCAGGCTGGCCTTGAACTCGGAGATAAGACTGCCTCTGCCTCCTGAGTACTAGGATTAAAGCACTACCACACCCAGCCCTTTAAATCTAATTCATTTTAATTATAGTAGATATATAAGTGAAATGGGGGAAAAAAAAAATCAAACCGTAAGAGGTAGAGCTGTCTCTGCTTCTTGTATAACACAGATTCCACTTGAGAAATTACTAAGATTCCGGCTTTCATAACTATTTCCACCTACTTTAACATAGCCAACAAGAAGAACATCCAAATATTCTCAGGAGATGGTCAGATCCTTGAGACCATAAAAGGCTATAGTATTTGCCTTCTCCGAGGACCCAGACTACCATTTAACCAGCAGGTTTAATTTGAGCTGTTTCTCTAAAAGATATTTTTTTGCTCAGAAGCTGTTTCCCTTTCTTGCACAGCATTAGACGCGTCTAAATAAGTACAAGTATGGCAGTGCCCCCAGAACACAATGGTGGAACCCAGCAGCATGCCCATGCTCAAGAAGCAATGCCTTCCTGTTGCATGGTTTCTTCCTGTTTTTTACCTTGCATGCTGGTGGGCCCACCATTAAATTTATAGTGAAGCTAAACAAAGGCATTATACGGCACAACACATGAGAGAAACATTTGCAGTGTTATTTTTGTCTTTTAATTAAAAAACTCAAAGATATAAAACAAGCATTTTACATAATACATACATTCTCAACATCTGCAGATGAGATAAATAAAAAGCTGAAGCGGACATATTGTACTGATTCTCTTTGGTAAGTTACCAAGATTATCTTCAGCAGAAACAGAATATATGTTAAAAAAAAAAAAGTTTTAAAATAATTGTCCCTTAGTAGTAACAAAATATTCAGCAATAATACAGTAGAATATATATTTCAAATTGACAAAAATGCATAATACTTTATTCTCTGAGCGGTAAGTAGCTGCTTTCCAAAATTAAGGCCTACAGAGATATCACCTTTCTCTAGCTACCTTTTTCCTGGCTCATTTTTTAAATGTCACATTCAAACTCCCTGACACAATTCTTTGAGAAAAAAAAAAAAATCTTTTTCATATACAAAAACTCTCCCTAGTCAGTTCAACACCACCCATCCTAACCAATTCCATTTCCTATGAAGCAATTCTGCTTTAATTCAGCGTCATCTGTTGGTGTAATGTTCTTGTGGAATGTGTACAATTTACCCTTGTTCATTCAAATGCTGATTCCCCCCCACCACCACCACTATCTGGTTTCACGACATTTCAAAATTTTCCAGACATTTCATTGTCTGCCTGAAGTTTGTGTAAATATGTTCTCTGTGTTGCCAATAAAAACAACCAACCAATGCTGAGCAATGGAGAGAATAGGGTGGGACATCCTGGTCCTGAGGGGAGGAGAGAACCCGAAAGGAGAAGACCTGGAAACTGGAAACATCAGGAGAAATGGAAGGGACCTAAGATAGGACTAAAAAGCAAGTATAATGTCAGAAATCTGAATGGGAGAAAAGTTATGCAGGCTTGGAGGTTTAAGATGGAGTAATTATTGCCCAGCATCGTGCTCTTAGCTAATTAAATAAATATCCTAGTCTTTATGCGGGGATTTGGGTATGTAGCTGGTTTAGTTATAACTGCTGTTTAACTAAAAGATAAATCAGTATTAAATATTAATAATAATCAACAAACATCTAAACTCAGTGCCCCCAAATAAAAAAGAATAAAAATTCCACTGAATTTGCCTCCAAACAGCACATATAGTTAGGAACTAAGTAACAACCATCCTACTGGTTTAAAAGTTGGTCTCTTGCATTGCAGGTGCTTGCAAATGCTTGAATCAGGGCTGCTCACAATCCATTCCTTCTAGAAGGCATTGAGGACCTGAGGGGGGGTGCTGGGAGCAGGTCGAACAAGCTTGTTTCCACATTCAGGACCGTCCATTCGCTGAACAGGCGCCGAGAGGGCTCTAAGTGAGGGAGGTAATCACTAAATTGAGATAAGGCATAATTCAAGACCATGACATGCAAGAAGCCATGTGGCACTGAGTATGCTTGTACTGTTTCTCAAACCTAGACAGGGAACTTTCATGACTGATCAGCAAGTGATGGAGTTGACACAGAACAGCTTCGGAGATGAAAATGTTGACCTAGCAGATGTGGCATGGTTGATGGGCTTGGTTGGACCTGCCTGGCAAAATGCATTCCCAGTTCAACTGCTCCACAAGGTCATTAACATTCAACCCCGGGAACTGGGAGCCATGGATGCATCATCTGGCAGCACACGGGCCTCAAGACAGAATTTCAGGTGTGCCACCAGCTGGAGTATCAAACCCTCCTGGCAATGGGGACCTGCAACATGGGCACTGGCACCCTACATGACACCTGATGTAACCAATGGCCAACCTGTAGGACCAAGAGGTGCTGCAAGCTGTCGTGGCTGCCTTACTTGTCCTGGTGTCTTGCACGTAGGCTGCATCAGCTGCACAGAATCACATCACCAATCTGTTGCCCCGGCTGTTGCAATAACAAATGGTGGGAATGTAACCAATGCCAGAGAAGGAAGATTCTGACAACCTCCACATAAGACAAGGGTTGACAATCTTGACATTGTTTGAGACCAAATCCTGAGAGTCTGAGACCATCTGATAGTCCACTGGCAGCATGGAAACTGCCGCACAGACTTTAAGCAGATGTTTAACTGGATCGGGGAGGCTGTTATGCCTCATGCCCTGCACTTGGGGTTTCTGTGTCAACAAACAATTCAAGTGGTAACTGGCATTGTGACACCACTGTGTGCCATCGAGGCTTCCCATGGTTAGCCTTGCTTGATCTTATTCGTGCCTGAACAGATACGGATGAGTACACTAGTGTGCTAGCCTTCAGCCAGCACAGCAGGGAGGGTCAAGCTCAGGGGGTCACTGGGCAGGCTGGGAATCTGCTCTGTATGTTCAAGACTGCAGAGTTCATGAACCTGCTATATGTTGCACTTCAGTTAACTATCAAGGTAGATGGGAACCTGTCCATGTGACGGTATTGGAGCTAGGACAACTACACCGTCCAACAAGACAGTAATTGATGCTTGGGTCCCAGAATATACCATTCAGCACACAATGTCTGCCTGATTTCAACCTGCTGATGGACCTATACCAGAACTGGCTGCCATTTATGATCTAGCTATCTAGGCACGTGCCACCTTCATTGAGAGATTGCAACTAAAACTACCTTGTAGGGCCCAAGTTAAGGTTTACTGTTTTCAAAAAACAAAACAAAACAAAAAAAACCAGCACATATACACACCGTGGCTCTACTAAAGCTATATATACAGGTCAGAACTAAGAATTAGAAAACTAAATGGGCACATTCAATACATAGCAGCTCATGTCTAAATACATACATGTATGTATATGTTTTCACAGTTAATCTTTTTAAAAAATTACATGATACGTTCAGAAATATTTCTCCTATGGTCTATAAATAATGCTTTAAAAGTCCAATTAATAAAATGAAGTATAAGAGTTGATCAAGTTAAATACATATTCCGAGCCTTCAAGAACAGATGCTTGAGCTGGTAAAGCTTTGAGGTGTGTTTTGTAAAGGATGTTCTGTCTGGCCCTACCAGGAAAGGCAGCACACTTCCTTCTAAATCCGGTAGGAGAGAAACTCCAAAACCTTGGAAGGAACGGGCAGTTTCTGGACTTCTTGGGTAGACATCACTCTTCGGATTGACATGCGACATAAATGTTGAAGGCTAGGGACTTGCCTTGGAGTGGCCCAAAAATATACACTTCCATCATGTGTCCTTTAGAGAAATGGGAAAAGAAAAAAAGGCACAGTCATCCAACTGCATTTATCCCATGTCCCTACAGCTGTATATCAGATTCACACATTTCACCTCAAACCTAATAAGCACTAGCCAATGCACTTCAGGACAAAGTAGTAATAATAGGATTATAAACAGTTTGTCTAGGAAATGTACAGAACCTTCTCTGTTAAGAAACAAGAAGAGAGGGGGCTGGAGAACTGACTCAGCTGTTAAGAGTGCTCTACGCTTTCCCAGAAGACCGGGATTCAGTTCCAGCTCCTGCGTGGTAGCTCACAGCCACCTATAAGCCCAGCTCTAGATCACACCTGCTTCTGGCCTCCGCAGGTGGTGCTGCGTGCACAGGCATGCAAGCAAAATACCCATACACATAAAAACAAATCTTCAAAAGAGAAAGAAACAAGAAAGGCATATTTACCCAGCAGCTAAAACACTGCCATCAGTAGAAAAGGCACAGCAAAGACCATTGCTTAAAGGTGCAACGTTTACTGGACAATCCTCATCAATTCTCCAGAACCTCACCATTCTGAAAGGGAAATAAGTGACCTAGTGAGTTGAGGAAGTCAGAAAGCAAAGCTGTATTCTGCATCAGAGTACATGCACACAAATCACTCTCAAAGATCATGGCAACTTTGATTGAGGCAGACTCAAATGTAACCCAGGCCAGCATCAAACTCTTGATCTTCCTGCTTTTACTGCCCAAGAACTGGGATTACAGGCTTGTATCCTCTCCATCCAGCTAATATAACTTTGTGTTTTGTTTGAGATAGGGCCTCACTACATAGCCCAAAATGGAATGCTTCAGCTTCCCAAGTGCTACAATTTAGGCATGAGCCTCCATATTCTTCCTATACTATTGTGCTTTATATACAGACTATTCCAAAGAAGTTACAAGGCGTGGCTTGGTAATCTCAAGTGTTTCATCTATAATGTTCAAAACTGGAAGTGTTCTCATTTTCTTTTCTTTCTTTCTTTTTTTTTTGGTCTTTCAAGATAGGGTTTCTCTGTAGCCTTGGCTGTCCTGGACTCACAGACCAGGCTGGCCTTGAACTCACAGAGACCCGCTTGCCTCTGATTCCCTGAGTGCTGGGATTACAAGTGTCTGACACCATGCCCAGCTGAGGATAAAGCTCATTTGGTAAAGTGTCTACCTAGCATGCACACAGCCCTGGCTCCATTCTTATTTTCTTTCAAATAAACACAATCTGCTTTACTCTTTTCCACATTTGCTTAACCTCAAAAGCAGTGGCTACCAATTTATAGGTGTGTACCACCACAGCCAGCTAGGTAAAAAGCAACACTTCCTAAGGTGTTGTTTAGAGACATTAGAGCCAGTATGGTCCATACTGAATTCCTAGCACTCAGAGGCAAAGGTAGAAGAATCTTAAGTTCAAGATCAACTTGGCCCACACACTAAGACCATTTCAAATACAAACGAATAAACAAAAATTTAGTTTAACAGAGGTGTTATGAATTAAAACATGCTTTCACTTGGTAGCAGGATGAAAAAAAAACAAACCTTAAAAGTATGAATAAAGTAAAAACTAGACTCCATGTACTTACTTATCATCGGCCAGGCTGGCAACATGCAGTCCGTCATGACTGAAAGACACAGCTCGTACCCATCGGTCATTTGCTCCTCCAGCAAATATTGGAGTAGGTGGGGGAAACAGGTGCCTGGGGTCAGACATATTCTCAGTGGGTTTCAGAATCAAGAAACAAACAAAATGGCCTTGGTATCAAGCTCACTGGCCTCTGATAAGGTTTAAAGTAGGGCCTCTCTGACACAATTAACCCCAAGGAAAGTGGTTACAGTTCAGCTAAATGCAATAGGAAGTATATGTTCAGTCAGAGGAGGACCGTCCCCTAAGGACTATCCTTTAGCCAAGGGTATACAGGAATCTGCTTCCCTGCTAGAACTGACAAAAGTGAGAGCTTCTGAAAGAACTGTTCACCTTTTTCACAACATTGACAGCATTTAAGTCCAACTTCTGTTTATCAATTTTCCCCAAGCATAAAACTCTAGCATATTATCATTTCTACAGACCCAGACACTCTTAAATACCAAGACCCACTGAGTATATCTAAAGCTTTATATTATTCAAGTGTTCACATAATGAGATTAATTTCACATTTTGTTAAGTGAGTCTAATTTTTCACGTCTTCAAAGCTATAGTGACAGTCAGTGTTGGATTACAGATGGAAATCATTCATGTTGTGCTCACCCGAATTCCATCAGAATGTCTCCGGTGTACGGGTCCCATACACACACACGAGTATCGTAAGATGCAGTAGCAAGCAATGCCCCATCAGGAGAAAAGCCACAAGCTACAACATCATGGTGATGCCCTTCTAGCCTCCTTATCATGGTGTATTTATCCATATTCCAAAGGAAGACCTGAAATAATAAAATGGCAAATGTTATAGTTTCACTCAGACACACAGAGGACAAAGGGGCACATCTTACACTACAACTGCTACTTTAACATTATATTAAATTAATTACAAATTATGAGTAATTTAAAGAATATGCTCAGTGTCATAGATTAAAAATCAGTCTTTAAGTTAATTAAAGCAGACATGCAAATTTCTATTTCAAATGTTTCTGTTAAATGTTAATTTAAAAAATAAGCCTAAAGGGAAAATAAAGGCAATGCAATTTAACCACAAATACGGAAATCCATTTATTCAAAAAAACTAATTAACTAAAATATATGGAAATAAATAGGGTTAAGTATTACAAACCCCTTTCTCTTTTTTTCCAGAAACTACTATTTTTAAAAATATATACAGACAGAAAATGTAATGTTAGCAAATTGTTACTCCATTGGCATCTCCCTTTGAGATAATCACTTGTTTACAATAGGCTTGGGTCACCACGAGAGCCTAGGAAGAGAAACAGATACTGCAAGCAAAGAGAATTTTCACAGCCAAACGTTTTTTGTTTTTTGGCAAACAAACAAGAATGTTAAACCACATTACAAGTGAAAATGCTATTTTATGAAAATAATTACAACATTTTTTTGGTAGCAAGATTTAATACTTTCTTTCCAAAATGACTATAATCAATAAGTTATTTTCAGCATAAAACAGTTAAATTACTAAAAATAAGTTCACGTACAGTTTAGATTTTAAACATCCAAAGACCATGTGCAGAAGGTTCTCAATAACTTTTGCTGGTTGTTTGCTTTGAGGCAATGTCTCACCAAGAGGTCCAGGCTGGCCTTTAAGTAGCCCAGGCTGGCCTTGAATTTGTGGTCCACTTGCCTTGGCCTCTCAAGTGGCTCTACACAGGACTTTAGGGCTGACTGCAGTCTGTTAGGTTAAACATAAGCTTGGAGGTTACAGCAAGCCTAGTGAGGCAGCTTCCCTCCTTTCTGCACATTTTTTCCACAGGAAAGTTAAGTACAGTAACTGGGTCAGTGATTTAAGATACTGCCAGCATCTCAAGAACTCCAAAAAACAGAGAAAGTACTCAAAAACCAATTACTTTACATTAGCATGAATTGCGTTCACTTGTCAGACTCTCAATTCCATCAAACTGTAAGATCAATTTACTCAGGAGTCTGGATTTTACTGTGGGGGAAATTATTTTTAAGGAAAAAGAAAAGAAAAGAAAGAGAAGCAGAAAGTGGACGTCGACCAGCACCTGTGTACGTACAGTACACCTTGCAGCCGAATGCAAGGTTACTTCATCCTACGGTAAAGGTCGCCCCCAGCCCGGTAGCCAGAGATGCCACTCTTTCTGCCCAGCTAACACCATTGTGCGCCTGTGTGCGAGTGGTGCCAGCATAACCTCAATCACACCAATATTGCTGCCACCACCTGTGACAGGGAAAGCAAGAAGCATATGGAAAACACACAGCCTAAAAGAGCAATGTCAACATCTAGCTTGCTTTTATGATTAAAAAAACAAAAACAAACCTAAGCTATTTTGTTCTAAACTTCTAACATTCACAAGTATCATCTCAACATACTTTTGGTAAAATAAAAATGTGTTTTCTTGCCACTACCCCCCCCCCCAGTCCAAAAAGTATTGTGATCATACACATTTTTGGAGTTTAGCCAGTTAAACAGATACTCAATGCTGCTAAGCTCCTAAAGGTACATTAACTCCGAGCTAGTAAACTGACAGTTCACTAAAAGCACAACCCTGGACAATCACTACTTCAGCTTCTACAGGAACATTGTAAACTATGCAGCTGCATCTCTCACTTACTCTAGCACATACATGAGTGATCATTTTATGATGTTTTTAAATTACTTTTTTTTTTTTTTTTCAGTTAAATGTCCAGAATCAGCTGGGACTCAAATCTTAAAAAACAAAAGTAAAAAACACAACAACCCCAGCAAACTGGACAAAACAAAAACACAGCAAATAATTAGGAAAAAAATACCTTAAAAATGAACTAGATTTTGTTTATAGCACAGTAAGTGTTCCTAGATTTCACAAAAAACTAACTTCATTTTATAAACATCTCTAAAAGCAACTCAATTTCTCAGTTAATAAATAACTAATTTTCTACATGCAAATTCTCTCCATCATGAAATAAAGCATTTAAGATATTCATGACACCGAGCACAGACTTAATAGGTTACTTAGATTTAAAATGATTAAGCATACATTATCATCCAATTCATGACACATGTACGAGAACTTTGACACATACTGCTTTACTGGCTCCAACTGAACACAGCATAGAAGAGTCGGGAGAGAATGCACAACTGTACACCCAGTTCTGGTGTCCCCGCAATATTTTCATCATGTTTCCTGAACAAAAAAGACAATTATCTGTGTCAGGAGAATGCATTTCAAATCAGTAACTCCTTGACTGATAGGACAGTAGCCTACAGTTATTATAAACTTTTACAGCTGGAAAAAAGTAGATAGATAGATAGATAGATAGATAGATAGATAGATAGATAGATAGATAGA